TTTGTCTAATAATCGGAAAATCAACTTTTTTGCTATTATCAATATTTTAGCAGCCTTATCCATTGAGATAGAAGGTCTTGAGTGTTGTTTCAAGAAAAAGTTTGCTTTTTAAGATGGTTTTTGCTCGAATGTTCTATTAGAATTTCTTTGAAATTCCTGAGGGATCCCTATTATGAACCACTATAGTGGTTCACGATAAAGTTGATTTTAAAGCAAGATTTTATATGTTTGAAATCATGTTTGGGAAAGTTTTAAGAAACTAGTCAACAATTTACTTTAAACTAAATAGCAAGTTAAATAAACAAATAAATTTGGAACTTATAGTTCATTAATTCATTAGTTTTGAAACATTAACACATTTTTCTAAACTTGGTTTCTATATAGAAGTTCTTGTTAAGCTGTTGCTCTCATTTCAGTAATAGCAAAGTCTACTTACCTTGATAGCCTATTTGAGCTAACTATTATACACAATGTTTTGGTAGAGTGTACGCGTCAAGTAAAGAAGAATTACGCACGAACTAGTTTCGACTTTGTCATCATAACTATTTGTTTGTTTGTTTTGAATTTCACGCAAAGCTACACGAGGGTTGTCTGCGCTATCCGTCCCTAATTTAGCAGTGTAAGACTAGAGGGAAGGCAGCTAGTCATCACCACCCATCGCCAACGCTTAGGCTACTCTTTTATCAACGAATAGTGGGATTGGCCGTCACGTTATAACGCCCCCGCGACTCTTAGATTGCGAGTCGACTGCCCTAACCACCCGACCATGACGGGTCCGTAACCATTTGATATCGCTTGCAATAAGTGCAGTGGTTTTGGGCATCCAAATTGTTTAGCTTACCGAATTCTAACTACAAAACCACGAAGTTCTTTTTTAGTTTCTAAACAGTCGTGACGACAATGGTGTTTTAAATATCATAATACTGGCATAAAACATATTATAAAATGATACCTTTCTTACGATTAATAATTTTATTAAGATGAAAGGATTTCAAGTGAGCGTATAGATGTTTTCAAAAATGAATATTGGTTAGCGTATAAATCCTTGACAGTTGTATAGGAAGTGGGGGACCTGTCCTCCGTCCTACTTTTGACTCTATCCCAGTAAAAATGCATAAGAATTAGGAAATTACTCTAAAAAAAGCAGGAGAATGCATAAACTTTAATCGGAACCCAAGAGTTTCCAGGGTCCTAAAGCAAGCTCTGGACACCCCACCTCCTGCCCACTCTTAACATGTCTCCCACACCTCTGCTTGACTTTTACAGTTCTTTTGTGACAGATGTTTATTTTATGTGCTGGCGCGAAGCAAATCTTTAAGCTTATTAACTGAAGAGTGTGGAATTCAGAGCACGATCTTTGTTGAGAAAAATACGGTTACAATGACCTGAAGTTGTTTATCAAACTGTTTGAATTCTTAACGTTCGCATGCTCAAAGTCAAGTAAAAGAAAAAGCTCTAATTATTATAGAGGACTGGTAGAATTAAGTTTTATAATTCTGTCTTGGCTAATTGAACATTTGTTACTAAAAACTTCAGAAAAATGAGGAGGTCAGTTTGTTGTATAACAACTTTAAGTTTAAAAAGGATAAAGTGTTAACGGTAGAGTAATTTGAGTTGTATTACTTTTAAAATAGAAATTTAATATGAGACTATAAAGTGAATTTTAATTTTTGGTATAGTTTTCATAAATAAATGGAGTTTCGAGCAAGTTTAATGGGAATGACCTTTTCAGTTTAATGGAAGAAAAAGATCTTGGTGTCCTGGTTGATCAGTCTCTTAAACCACCCAAGCAGTGTGCTGTCACTAATGGCGAGACAAGTAGGATTTTAGGTTGTTTCAGCCGAAATATTGAATCCAAGGCTAAAGAGGTTATAATTTCATTGTATATGTCATTGGTTAGGTTACATATGAAGTATTGTGTTCATTCTTGGGTTCCTTAAATTAGAAAGGACATTGAATTGATGAATAGAGCTATTAGAACAATACTTTGGATGGAAATTTTATCATATAAAGATAGGTTAGAATCTCTGAACATGTTTTCTGTTGTAAAAAAATAGTTAGAGGGGATCTGATTGAGGTGTTTAAGATTGTTAAGAAAATAGTAGTGTTGATACATCGTCCTTTCTTCGTACTTAATGATGAGATTTGTAGGATTAGGGGATACAAATATAAATTTTGGCAAGTTAGGAGTCGTCTTCAGTTAAGACAGCTTTATTTTTCTAACAAAGTAGTTGATCTTTGAAATAGCATACTTTCAGTTGTGACAGATGCAGTTAATTTAAGGGAGTTTAAGAGTTGACTCTGAGTATTTTAATTTTATTTTAAAGTTTAATTTAGTGAAATGGATGACCTAGATGCACCAACAACAACTGTGGTGCAGCGTAATGATTACAGACGCCAGTACAGGAAAGAAGTATGGGGGTATGTTAAGGATATTGTGTATCGCACACTTATAGCAAACATAACGGTGCTAAAGACGGGATAATGCCATCGCTGCTGTAACTGTAGACATGTTATAGCGAACGTGGACTGAAATCGAATATCGATTAGACGTGCTGAGAGCCACTAATTGTGCAAACGTAGAAGTCTACTGACATGTCAATAAAACCGTTTTAGTTGGGTTACAAGATGTGGAAAACTGCATGGTTGTATTTCCTTAGTTAGTTAATTATTAAATTTAAAGTAGGAGAAATGATTTTGGGCCACCCTTAATTTCATAATATATAACGTGTTTCATACTTTGTTTCTCGCGGATATGAGAAGTATCGTCATGTATGCGCAACCGGAAGTGCACTAATTTCAAAAATGATTAACAAACGACCAAAAAATACCATGTTCAATGGCTCACAGACGTTTTCTGATAAACTGATGGGCAAATTTTGATAAAATACATACCACAGAATGATGAAAACCGCCATTTTGCTTACTAACAGGTGGTATATCATTAATAAAAAGTTTTCATAATCGTCTTCATTAAAATTGAGAGACAAAATGTGCTAACTTGGAAGTAAAACAACCAATAACAAAGTACATCGATAATTGTTTAAACCGAAAGCACTTATACGATACGATAATTTGAACCAAAGTGTTATCTGAGGAAGCTAATTGCTAAAATGATGTTGATGCATTATGAAAAAGAAAATATTGCAAGGTTTACTGTTTACAAAACTTTATATTATAAGGGAATATTTCTTTATAAAGTATTATTCAAAATAATAGTGTTACTTTATTAAGTACTTGACACATCACAATACTCACAAAATCGATCGTACTTTGTTATATTGTTGTTTTAAGCTCTACTTAAGTTTTATATAAAAAATGATAATCTTATTACCGGGCTTTAGTAAAAACAACAATGTAAAAATGAAAAGTTTAATGAAGAGTTAAGAAAGTTTCTCAGGTTGTGCAAACTGCAGTATTGAAAAGTCTCTCGTATTATTTATCAAAATAAGATTTTTCTAAAATTTCAGAACAGTTTATGAATTGTTTGCCAGACTGTTTATTTGCAAGCATGCATTTGTTTACTTACCATATACGCCCATTTCTTGAGCTGGTGGCTCAGCCGTAAGCTTGAGGGCTTGAAATGCTAAAATTTGGGTTTTTATACCCGTGATGGGCAGAACATAGTTAACCTATCTTGAACCTTAGCGCTTAACAACAAACAAACAAAATTAGACTGTCTTTGAAGCATTGTGTATTTCCCTGTCGTAAAGCTTGGTTAGTTACCACTTGATCGATACGAGCTAACAAACACCTAGTAAGATTGAATTAGAATTCTATGGAAATAAAGCTTATCCTGTAGCCAACAGAAAATACACGAATGAGAGAGCATTACCCAGGAAACTAATAAGAAATTTGTTCAGAGGATTATGTCCTAAAAAAAATCAGTGATCAGTTTTAGTGAGCCCACATTAATTAGGAAAATTGCAGTAAGCCTTTAGCTTTATCCTGCTTTAAACTGATGTCAAATCCATAAAAAGAAGTAGGCTCGTTGGCTCTTATTCACTAACAGCATTGACTGCAAAAAGGTGTGATTGGCTTTAGGGAAGATGACGAGATTAGTCCTTTATCGAATGCATGCTAACAACTATACCGTTTAAACTGGTAATATCCGAAAATGTCAGAATGACGTTAATCAATACCATTATTCTGTTATCGTAACAGGACGTTTCTGTAACGTTAATCATTGTCATTATTCTGTGACGTTGTGGTATATAAGCAAATCACATATTTCCTAACTTCTTTTATTACGATAGGAGTATTTCCAAATTTGTTATTTGTGCAGGTATTGTGCAGTTTACACATAATATATTGGTCAAGAAGGACGTCAAGTTCCTTTTGCTCTAGCTACCTATTATTATGTATCATTTACTTAGAGTAACACACATTTTGTTTTCCTGTGTTAAGATAGTAGCAAGGTCACTTGTTGTTTGTGAAGTTAGACAGTTACCTTTTTCACTGGTGATCTCTTGAGGTAATGACTTTTGTTGTGTTTTATTGGGAATGACCAGTTAAGAAAGTAACGTGAGATTTATTCCATCTGGAACAAAATATCAACAGGGTTAATCTTGCAAACGACCTCATCTGCATAAGTAGAGCGACTTCAAACCTAACTCTTGAGTATTGTTTGTTTGTTTTGAATTTCGCGCAAAGCTACACGAGGGCTATCTGCGTTAGCCGTCCCTAATTTAGCAGTGTAAGACTAGAAGGAAGGCAGCTAGTCATCACCACCCACCGCCAACTCTTGGGCTACTCTTTTACCAACGAATAGTGGGATTGACCGTCACATTATAACGCCCCCACGGCTGAATGGGCGAGCATGTTTGGTGTGATGGGGATTCGAACCCGCGACCCTCAGAAACTCTTGAGTAAAGGCGACTGTCCGTTGTGGTAAGTAAAATTACATTTTCAGTGTTTGTTTCAATAAAGATTATTTATTGTGATTATACATTTGTTTCTCGTGAACTCAATTAGAGAGTTAATATTGATTTCTTACTTACCAAATCTCATGTTATTTTTCGTACCTATCCTGTCACTCATAGCGAAAATCGGGGGCTGTCTGAAAATACCACAATGTTAATCAACTTTTTGTAAACTCTGCAATTCTCAGATTTGTTACAGGAACATTTACCAGAAACTAGAATTAACACCATTTTCACCCTTTTAGCATAATCACTTAATATCCAAAATATTATATCACAAAATAAAATCCAGCAAATAGCAGGAAAAGTAACTCAAATAGCTTCGAAGAATGCAGCAGAATGAAAATAAAAAAAAAATTGTAATTTTTGACAAATTTGCTATAACATTTTCAATGATATAACCTAATGAAAACTGTTCTGTTTTTTTTTAGTTTAACCATTTATCGGATTGTTACAGTAATTTTATCAAAAATGACAAACTCATATCAAATTGTAATCACAAGAATGAACGTTCACATTTTTACTCGAGCATTACTATGATGTTAGAGGACAACATGGTATCTATGCAACATTTTCTTTGGTTGATTCGGATATTCGCTCAAAGCTACAGCCGTCTCTAGCTTTGAAATGATATATATTATTCAATTACTAAAAAGCAGCTAGTCAAAAGCACCTTCCGCAATTACTGGGCTGTTGTAATTGAATAATAGGATTTGGTCGTCACTCTTATAACGCACCCATGGCTCCAAATTGAACACTCGCAACTACATCCCGATAGGATCCACACCGGATCATTACTGCTTTGGGATAAAGTAAACGACAAATTGCTTACAGTTTATCAGGAACACCCATAACACACAAGAAACACATTTAATTAACACTGAGAGATTTCATGTAAAACGTATGTATCTTTTATAGAATTTCCACAAGAGAGTTTTTTATATACAATTAAAGATCGATACCTTCAATACATTCACTCGTTCACATCAATATTTACATAAGTTCTTCCATTATATGAACTTTTCTCCTTAATGAAATATATTCAAAGTTAGCCTAATTAATGTCCATTATATTCTCTAATTAAAAAACGTTCTGAAATATAAATATACAGCATAAAAGGAGCATATGATAATCAATTTCTTCATATTCGTGAACACATTCCCCTAACAACATTTCTGAAATGTTTTTCCAGCTCTTCGTGCCTTTTATATGTAACATCAAAAACTCTCTCTGTTTTGTTACTTTGAGGGTAACAGTAAATCAGCTTAGCGGTTGAACAGAAGCGATTCAGAGTATGAGTTGGATGTATCCATATTTTCTCTCACATTAGTTGTCTGAGCAATATAAAGAAAATACATTAATCCTATAAATAGCTTATCTGTTAGCGGTGGAGAAGATATTGGTACGTTCTAGAAAAAACACATTACTGTGAAATATACATTTTTGTTGAGACACAAATAAATTGCGGTTTCTGACAAGACTTCTTTGACACTGTATTTATCACATACGCTATCACTCATAAGTAAACAATGTGTTTCACACGATAGTATAAAACACTGACATCTTGCGGAGAAATTTTGAAAAACTTCAATGTCAACAGATACGTACGATGTCTTTTCTTACCACATTCAATAATAATTCTATATTATCCCAACCCTTTGAATATGCATTTTATTAAATCTATCCGGGTGTAGTAGAGTAAATCCAACATGTTAGCCATGTCAAACTACCAAGTTATTGAAAAAGCCATAAGAAGCAGTTTTCTTTTCATGAAAAGGAATTATATAATTGCTTGTGGATGTTTTTTGGACCAACTACCTTATATATTTCAGAATAAATATCGTTAGTTTTTAAAATCATTTTATTATTTTTTGATGCCACTATTAATTAACATTTAACTATAAAGAAGATCCATTATGTGTGTGTGTATGTGTGTTAGCGTCCATCAGCCAGAGTTGGCTGGCTTGGTTACAGTAATATTTTGTATGCTAACTGGAAACTGTCAGATGATATACATGAGCTATTTTGTTTTAGGATTTTTACCTTTTCGCTTGGAATTTAAAGACACAGTACTTAATCAGTTAAGAGAGTCAGTTATTAACTTCCACAAAGCTGGATATGCAATTAGCATCTAATGAGGTTATTAGGGATTTAATAACAAAAAAATAGAAGGGGAACATTATCTAACATTGTTCTTTATACAGTTTTTGCTTCTTTTACATGAACCTCAGCTCCCCAGTGGCACAGTGGTAAGGATGTGGACTTATACCGCTAAAAACCGGGTTTCGATACCCGTGGTAGGCAGAGCACAGATAGCCCTTTGTGTAGCTTTGTGCTTGATAACAAACAACAACATGTACCCTCAGCTAGTTGTTGAATAAAACAAGATGGGCAGCTGGATCTTACAACTTTAGGCTGATATAGACACGTTGAATCTCGTATGGACTTACCACTATCCCAGATAATGCTAATGAGATCAATCCACGTTCACTATTAAACGGCATACGCTTTTTTGGCTTGGAATAGTAACGAATTTTGAAAAGTTCGACACTCATGTAAATCTTGGTTCATCCCAGATGCAACGTTCTTCTGAGAACATATTAGAAAAGACTAGAGGAAATGTATTTTTTACAACCAACGACAATGATAAACGTATGCTGCAACAATAGAGTTCCAAAACAAAATATAGTAGGAAGCGTAAAAAATTCGCTATGATGGATGAACTATTTATAATTTTCAATGTTCTAAAAGTTCATTTTGATCAAGTGTGAGGCTAAGAGAATTGTGTTTATACTTATAGCTGGCCTTTAACATCAGAAAGAAATACATACTATTAAAATGAGAAAGATAGTTGATATTTTTGATATTCAGTATTTCTTTAATTTTTTCTATTAGAACACAGATAGCCCATTGTGCAGATTTGTGCTTAACTACAAACAAATTAAATCAGGCCATCACTGATACTTGCTATACGTAGAATGGATATGGTGTACTTCATAACGTTAGTATTTCATTTTTTTCTCTTGCTTTTCGCTTATGTCAATGATTTTAAATTCTATCAGCGTCTAACTGATAACCCAGCAAGTATACTTAACTTGTATCTTGGTTCATTAATCACAATTATCCTACTTCATAACGTTAGTATTTCCTTTTTTCTCTTGCTTTTCGCTTATGTCAATGATTTTAAATTCTATCAGCGTCTAACTGATAACCCAGCAAGTATACTTAACTTGTATCTTGGTTCATTAATCACAATTATCCTACTTCATAACGTTAGTATTTCCTTTCGCCATTTTGTTTTCATTTTAGTCTTCCATTTGTTTATCTCTCGCCCTCTTACACTTAATATTCTCACCTGATGTTTCATTCATTTATCTTATGTGCACGTGACCTCCGTTTGTAGGTGTCTTTCTTTTATGTATTGTTATTAACGTTTTGTCATTCCCACCTAACAAAAAATTAATGTATGAAAGTTCTTGGGTTTCAACTGGCTGTGTTCTCACATGGTTATCTAGTTATCTGTACATTGATCATCCACACAAGAAACACACTAGTAATATTTTTTAATAAACATTGTGGTAAAAAAGAAGTATTACGTGTTTGTGTGAATCCTAAACTTACACAATACTGATTAACCTCATCTCAACACCTGTGCTTCGTATGACGAAATGTTGGGAAATATAGCCCAAAAGTAGCATTTTTCCCATTCCAATTCAGTATTCGTGGTCAGTTTCAGTTACTGATTATTTTTACAGCTTCTACTAAAGGATTAATTTCTGGCCAGTTCCTAGGTTTCAATGTATTTGATGACTACTTCTACAGATTACTTGATGATTTAATAGAAGTTAATATACATATATATTTAAAATTCAGATTTTCTTATTCAATTAAGAAAGAAATCATACTATCAAGCTGTAGATGATCTTTGCATTAATATTAATAAGTTATTAACTAACAAATTATCAATAAAAAATTGATACATTATTTAACACTAACTGTTTTCAACTAGTAAAAAACGAGGTTTTAGATTGTATTAGAAGTGGATAATAAACATCTTTATTCTGAAAATATTAACATGTGACTAATAAATCTCTCTAAATGCTTGTACAATTACACAAGGACATGCCAAAGTTGAGCATATAATTTCACGTTAAGAGTAAATAAATTTTATAAATTACTTTTCTATGAAAATTATTTTAGCTTCCAAACAAACTGATGGAAATTAGTCAATTTTAAGATGAAATGATCTGAATCCTGGTAATGTTTTATGTCTGATCGAATATTGGGACTTGTTCTTCGTAGTTATATCGTGTCCACGGCCCCTAAATGTGGAGCACGTTTTTGTGACGATAGGTCAGAAACCTGAAACACTTGTATTCATATTCCTGGCACGCTATCGCTGGACCAAGCAAGACGCGTGTTTGATGTAAACTAAATCACTTTAAAATCATAACTATCAGAACTAAGTAATTTTGAAAAGGAATTGATCTAAATCAAGGCTATTTTCCAAATATATGAACCTACTCTAGGTCATTTTCAAATACAGTAATCAAAAACAAGTCGGTTTCAAATATAGTGACTAAATCAAAACCAGTGGTCAGGTAAAAAATATATTGGCCTAAAATAGACTAGTTTCAAAGTATTTTCTTCACCATTAAACCGGTTTCAAAGACTATCGTGATCATGACATCTGACACGTGGTTTCCGTTTATCCAATTTTTTTTTGAAAAGTGAAATAGTTTTCATTCCAAAAGCCTTAGAGTGGATTGAAAATGAAGTGGTAGTTTTTGAAAGTAAAACTGTCAAACTCGATAAGAGTGCAGGGAAACTAATGGGTCTGAAGTCATGTGCCCTAAGCCCGAAAATTTTCTAACTTTTGGTAAAGTAATAAAATAATTGATGACTTCCCCCCCCCCCAAATTCTGGTTTACATTGTGGTTGTTTTCAAAACAATTGTAAAGAAATATAATCGAAAAACATGGCATACATGTAATATTTATAAAAACTCAATTTCTGTTGCTTTGCAATATGAATTTTATCATTTAAGTTGTGATTCGAATCGTACTTGTTCTATACCGATGAACATGAAAGATCACAAAGAAGATTGATCACAAGTAACGGAAATAATAATTTAATTATCTTTAGATCTAATAGAATTCTAGAAACGTACAAAGTCTTGCATAGTTTTAGACATCTGCCTGACATGTAGTTTCATCTTCAGTGCGTGTTTATTTTTATGAAATTGGAACTGTTTGGTAGATCATAATCAAGCTGATGAATAATTGAACAATTACAAGCAGCAGAGATTTGCTCCTACAGAATATAGAAGGGTTCTTTCGCCTACATCTAACAAACCTTCCCAGCCCATGGACGTGTTCAATCGTAATCAATCAGCTGGTACTCCCAAGGTAGTTATTTTTAACATGAAAACAAAGGTCATTCAGTGCAAAATCAAATACCTCTTATTCATTAAAACATCTAACCTTAACAGCATTAACTTCAGTTAGTTAACAGATTAACATTAATATTAAGTAATACTTACGTTAAACTGTGGACTTAAGGTTAGCGGATCGGAATATCTAGGGTATTCGCTATGATAGTGCTGAACACAATCTACACTTTCAGCTGTGTGCGCGTTATAAGCATGACAGTCAATCTCTTTATTATTCGGTTCAAAATCGGACAAAGCTTTAGTGGTAGAGAGTGCTGCTGAATGGCTCTCTTCCCTCTGGCCATTATTCAAAAATTAGGAACTGCTATTAAGAGTCATAGAAGTTCTGACTTGAACATTTAACCCACGTGCTCATAAAGTGCCGCTCAAGTTGAAAATACCGAATCCAGTGCTTTCAAACCAAGGTTCTTTCAAGATTCTATTTTACCTTTTCTTCGTAGCGCAATAGAACAAATTTTACCTTTTTTTTTTCACAATGAATGTGTGTGTGTGTATTTTCTTATAGAAGAGCCATATCGGGCTATCTGCTGTGTCCACCGAGAGGAAACGAATCTCTGATTTTAGCGTTGTAAATCCGAAGGTTTAACACTGTCACACCGGGGGACGAACCATACCCAACTGAGGTGTTCAGGAATATGTTTATTCCTCTTCGCCCCGCACGGAGAGATGGAACTTTTTATTGACTTTACAAACCCATCAGACTATTTTTTTCTTCTTCTCTTTCGTCTTTGATTGTTTCTGAATATAAACAGAGAAAAATTTGGAAAAGAAAATTTACTTGAAAAAAAAAAGAAATAATAAATCTTTCCTTATAATAAAAGTTGTGTTTTTAGTCTTCGTTTGTACAGTATTTTTGTCGACCTTTGAATTTTGTTTTTCACTCAAGGAACTTAACCACCTTATGAAACAACTTTAATTCCAAGATCTCAGATTAGGATTTTCTTTTTAAAAAAAAATTAATGAGTTAACATCAATTATAAGAGCGTTACTTTTTTGGTGACATCAGAGTTTAATTCTTACTAGATTTTTCAGTTGCATTCTTGTAGCATTTGAAGTTTAATACTTTCAAGATTTTAGACTTGTCTTTTTAAAAATATATATGTTTTTTTTTTTACATTAAGACGTAATTAGTCTGTTACCACATTTTTATCTACAGGAACGCTAAATACAATGCAAAGATTATCTGGATCTTGACTTAAATTAGTAACTTTATAAATTGTTTTTTTTTTCGACATTACCTGCTGTATTAAAATACTGGTTGATCAACGTACGTTTCTGTATATAATCTGTTTCCTGTGAAATCCGATAGTGAAGGCTTTTAAACAAATACGCCTAGAAAAACGTATTTAAACGTGTACATTTATTTTTAGCGGTTTCAATCACACATTTTTTTTTTAAAAAATAGTATTTTCCAATAAACACGCTAGATAAAAAAAATTGGAAAACAGCAGTTGTGTCAACTGGTTATTTCTGACCTTTTCATGTTGTTTTTATTTTACATAACGTAATTCATTTATTTTATTTCCAGTGGCTGTAAAAGAAAACGTTATATAAACATATTAATATATGTCTAGGAGAGGTCATTACTTTCTGGTCATTCTTTAATTGACTGACCTTTTGCTAAGGCTGAAGAGCTCCACGTGTGTAAGTTGTTTTAGAGAAATATTATTTTACTCTGCCAGATCTCTTTGTTAGAGCTCTGCTATTCTATTATGGAATCTGGGATAACATGTTTAGTGCACAGTTTATCTCTATATAATTATCGACCCATTTATGCAAATAAAGACAACATTAATTTAGAAACCTAATTTTTTCTTACCAACTCTTCGAGTTTTCTCAGGTTGTCAAACGTTTTCTATTTCACCAGCTTTTACTATGTGTTTCGGTAAGTGCTATTTTGGAAAAACCTTTTTTCCAACACATTCGAAACAACCGGCGATCATGTAACCTGGATTTAGTTTTTGTAGTGATATCTATAATGTCTGACGATATTTTTAGGTCTGCGTCTACTATTCTCCAGGTTTACACTAAACCAACCAAAGAACAAAAGATGAACAAGGGATCAAAATTTAATTTCTTCAAATTCCTGTCCGTTCTAAGAAGAAGAAGAATTTAGTGTCTTAAGGAATCTTTCTGAAGCACCTCGTGTCCGAATTCTTTATTACTGTTCGTTATGTGAGTCTCACATCAACGTCATCTGTAAAATCTAACCGCGTTGTATTGCGAGCGTCCTTGAACATAAGAATGAAATGTATTTAAAGTAATATGTTATTATTTCGACAATGTTTGCCATACCATGCTTACTACATCTTTTTCTATGGATAGTTGAATTAAATATTTTAACCAATTTAGTAGATTAATATTAAAAATTACGAAGAGTATTTTGCATTATTAGCAGAGTATTTGAATTCAGGACTAAACTAAATATTCTAAGTTGTCCGAACTTCGTGAGATATTAATGGGTTTACGGCCGAAAATATCGTTTGTAGTTTAGTAGTTATAGGCTTGAATTTTTGGTGCAGTGATTTATGTCATTATGCACTTCTATACAAATCATAATTCAACGAATTAGCTTGTTTGGTTTTAGAACTAAGCATAAAGCTGCTCGAGGGATACGTGCGCTAGCCATCCCCAATTTGAAAGTGATAGACTCGAGGGAAGGCAGTTTGTTAACGCTATCTACCACCAACTCTTGGGATACTCTTTTACAATCATCACATTATAACGCTCCCACGGCCGAAAGGGCCAGCATGTTTGATGACGGGATTCGAACCCACGACCCACAGATTGTGAGTCCAGCACCCTAACCACGAGATCATTTTATGATTCTATCCTATAAAAATTTGCATGCATCATTTTGAGCAGATTAAAATAATTTAAACGTGGTTAATGCTGTTCATTTATTGGCCTATCTAACATCTTTGTGGAATTACTCTAAAACTTATACATTAATTATGATGGCTTCGTAAAGTCTGCAGAACTATATTGGTATTTCGTGTATCATCTGTTATGGTGGAAGTGGCAAATGAATTACGCCGTGTTATATTACACACCGAGTTTCTTATACCAACTTAAGGATTGTTTGTTTGTTTTGAATTTTCGCGCAAAGCTACACGAGGGCTATCTGCACTAGCCGTCCTTAATTTAGCAGTGTAAGACTAGAGAGAAGGCAGCTACTCATCACTA